CCATCCCATCCCATCCCATCCCATCCCATCCCATCCCATCCCATCCCATCCCATCCCACTCCCTGCCACGGGCAGGGACACCTTCCACTGTCCCAGGTTGCTCCAAGCCCCATCCAGCCTGGCCTTGGCCACTCCCAGGGATGGGGCATCCTTTGGGAAATCCATCCCAGCCCCTCTCCACCCTCCCAGGGAGGAATTCCTTCCCAACATCCCATCTCACCCTGCCTTCAGTGGGAAGCCATTCCCCCTTGTCTTTCCCTCCATGCCCTCATCCAAAGCCCCTCTCCAGCTCTCCTGGAGCCCCTTTAGAACCCACCCCCCCCAAATTTTCCCTCTCTTTGCACCCTGACCCATCTCGAGGGATAACTCACCCCAGAATCCCGTTTTTTTTTCCCCCTCCCAGAAGTCCACCCGCTGCTGGGCGTGAAGGGAGATGGTAAATCCAAGAAGAAGCAAGCAGGCAGGCCTAAAGGATCAAAAGGTAAAGACAAAGATTCTCCATTTAAACCGAAACTCTACAAAGGGGACAGAGGTGCTTTACCTCTGGAAGGAGCAGCGAAGGGTAAAGTGCAGGCGGAGCTGGGACAGCCCTTGACAGGTAAGGAACCAACCTCAGCACCCCTGGCTTGCTTGGTGGCCTTGCTTTGTGCAGCCCCTTCAGTCCTTAGAGGTGTTTTTAGCTCCCCCTCAAATGGCACTTTGCTCACTCAGTGTTTGGCTGCTGTCAAGGAGAGGCAAAATTGGAGCTTGGGGTGAAGTGGAACTGCTGTCAGGATTCGGGGGGGAAACGATACCTCGGGTAGGAAGAGCTTTAGGAGGGGTTCAGGGGAAGTTAGGCACTGCTTCCAGAGGAGAAAAAATCATTTGGTCTCTTCAATAACTTCCATCAGCTCTTGCATAAACAGGAAGGACGTGGTTTGGGTTGGTTTGGGGGGAGAAATGTAACTGGTGAAGGGTTCTGAAGCTGCAGTTGGCACTTTGTGCCATCAGTGCCAGGCAGAGGGACAGGGAACAGAGAAATCCCACAAGGAAGGAGGGAAAGGAGCATCACTAATGGTCTGTTTGATAAATGGACCCCGAGACAAAGCCCAGGAGCTGAATTTTCTAATCCAAGCTGTACAGCAGCCTCATTTCAACTGCAGAAGGCACAGTTACTGTAGGTCAGGACAGGCTTGGGGGGATTTCCCCCCCTTTTTTGCTTTTTGGTTCTATTTTGTTGGTTGTGTGCTAAAGCAGGGCAGTTGCAGTCGCCTTTGTTGGGGCCCAGACTGAGTCTGAGAGACACTCAAGTGTTTCCCATGGTCTCATTTGCCTCTTTTCTGGGAAAAGCTCATCCAAGCCCAGCACAGAAGGCACAAGTTTGGCTCCAGCGATGTGGAATCCATTTATTTTTAGATTTTAATGAAGAGCTCAGGGTTGAAATACGAGCAGCTTCAAAGGCACAGTGGAATTGATACATCAAATTTTGCATTTCCTTGAACTCAGCAGCTGCTGCTGTGGATTTTTAGAGTGTCCAGAAGTGATTGATTCCCCCCCTTCCTTCCCTCACTGCTGGTCCTATGCTGCCCACCCTGCTCCTTGTCCTTCCTGCTCAGCTCCTCACTGTTGCTTGTACTGGTTCTGATCATGATGTGCTGTAACAGGGAATGGGATAAAAGGGATGAAAACGGGATAAAAGAAACCTGGAAAAACGTGGGGGATGTTTCCTGGGCTTCCATTTGATGCCTTTTCACTGCAAAATGCAGGAGTTAAACAGCCCAGGGCAGCCTTGGGAGGGGCTGAGGAGCTGCTGGTGGCAGATCCACTGGCAGGGGGTGACTCTTCTGAATTCCCAGCTCAGGAAGGGACATCCAGCAGTGTCAGAGGATGTCAGGGATCATTCAGAAAAGAGTTGCTTTATCTAGAAAACCTCGTTCTCCTTCATTTTTTTTTCTGGAAAAGCTGCCATGTTTGGTGCTCTCTGCTTTCTGGTAACTCCTGTGTGGGGCTGGTCACTTATCTTCCCCCTGTCTCTGATCTCTTTAGCAGGTGGTGCAATCTCAGAATTGTTGTGAAGACCCTCCTTTACCCTCCTGTGCTCTTTCCTCTGTTGGCACCCTCCTGTGGAAACGGCTGGAATGCTCAGTCAGAGGGGCTGCCAGAGCCAGCAGACTGACTGCTCATGGATTCAGGGAGTGACTGGTGCCAGGAATGGCTCTGGAAGAGGCTGCTCTCCGTGGGTCAGTGGGGGATGCTGGCTCAGGTCGTGCCATTGGAGAGGGACTCGTTGGACTGTCCTGGTGGTGACAAACCCTGCTGTCCCCCCCTGCCACTCCAGAGCTCCCCAGCCTTTGTCTAAATCCTTTTCTTCATTCCTGGACTGAAGAACACCCCCAGTGTGTGTTTTTACTCCTGATGTGACTGTGTATCCTGCAAACTGCCCTTTCCCTGCTGGGAATTCTCCTTTGGAGTCCTGTTATTCCTGCCCAGCATTCCCAGGAGCTCAGTGCTCCCTGCTGACCTTAGTGCTGCTGCTGCTGCTCCTGGGCCAGGCTTTGGGGCATCTCCAGTGGAGGGACATGGATGAGAAGAGCCAGGACACCTCTGGAGTCTGCAAAGGCTGAGCCTTCACTGGGTGGATATTTTTGAGACTCTGCTGGTGGGAGAAGGAGCAAGTGAAAGGAGCTCTCCATAAAATATTCAGTTGATGTGTTTTCTCCCAGCCTGTGATACCAAAAGCTGTGTTGGCAGGTTCTGTCTGTCCTTGCAAGTGTTTTTATTCCCTTCCCTGGGAGGTGCCCTGCCAGAAATAACTGGGTTCCTCCTTCACTGCTGGGGACTGGGAGAGGGTTAAAAACAGAACCAGGGTTTCTCTCAGCTGAAACAGGGCTTTTTCAAAGGGGTTTTCTTTTTTTTTTCCCCCACTTCTGGGTTAAAAATGGAAGAAAGGTGGATGCTGACAGCTCATTCCAGCCATGCTCTAACCTTTTATTCCTTAAGGACAGCTGGAATATTTTCCTTGTAGGAATGGGAAGAGGCACTTTCTCTGTCAACACCCACAGCCTGAACATCTTGTACTCCACCAACATCCTGGTAAAAGGAAGTTTTCATTCCTAAGGACCCTCCTTTCACAGACTTTTATAGCTCCTGTGCAACACTTCCAGTTTTTCCCCAGTGTAATTATTGGGATTATCATGATTATTTAAAGTATCAGAGTGTCCTGCAGACATTAAAACCAGGGAGTCACAAAGAGATTTATTCATTTGCAGCCAGAAATGTGCAGTGGCTGCCTGGGGAAGAGGGGGAGACATTTTGATTCAGAAGCTTTTTAAAAACTGTTATTTTCATTTCCAGCTTGGGTACATTTTGCTTCATTTAATGGAATTCGTTATCAACGAGTACAATATTAGTTTTCTTCGTTCTTTTCTGCTCGTGGGATGACTCTGATGTGTCAAATCCACCAGTGTTTGGTGTGCCTGACCCCCCCCAAGCTTTAAAAATGCACAGCTCGTGGTTTGAAGCATTTGATTTGCCCCAGACTGAGCTTTCCACGGCTGGTAAAGCTTCTCTGTACAGTGTAAATGTCCTGGGTTTATTTTTTTTTCCTCTCAGCCCTATAATTTTATTTTCTGGTCTCTGGAGTTTTGTACAGTATTTGTCAGGTGCTGGCTTGGTGGTAGAACAAGGTGTCAGGTTGGTGTTTGTAAATAAAGAGGTACCTTTTCATTTCCTAAAATCCTGGGGGTCGTGGTGATATTTGGGAATCCCACAGCCCAGAGGGGAGCTGGGTGGGCAGGGCACCTCCAGGGACATTGGGTGTGGGAAATGCAGCTCCCCAGAATTCCTCATTTTAAGTTCAAGGGAATCAGGAAGAGAAATGTGTGGATTTATGGTGAAGGGCTTGGCAATCCCAACGTGGGCAGCCCGTGGGTGGGTTGGTGAGGACGGGGATGACCCTTGGTCAAGGACTGGAGACAGCACAGTTCTGTGGCCCAGAAAACTGGGAATGACCCCATGAAACCCAGGAACTGTGGGTTTTGTGGTGAAGAGCAGCAGTGCATTGTTCCTTTGGGATGGCTGAGCTCCAGGTGAATCCCACTGGGATCTCTCCTCTCCAAGCAGGGTCTGAGTGGCCTCTGCCTTAGAGGAACATGAGGATTTTGGGCTCAGATCCCTTTGGAGTGGTGGCTGTGACAGAGCAGGGGACATCCCTCTGATGGGGGGTGGTGCTTTTGGTTCCTCATCCCAGAGGATTTGCTTTGCCTTCCCTTTGTTCCTCCTCGGAATGTTTGGGGCTGTGACATCAGCTCTGCTCCCCTGGGAGTGGATCTGGGTGTCACCAGAGGCAAACCCCTGCCCAGACTGCCTTGGATTTCGGTGGATCAGAGTGGCTGGAGGTTGGAATGTTGGGTTTGAGCTGGGGGAGTGCTTTAGGCTGGGGGATGTGTGGGTAGGTCAGAACTGAACAGGTCCTGCACAAGGAATTGGGATTTCCTCGTGCTCCACAGCATTAGTTTAAAGATTCCTGCAGTAATCACCTCTGCCACTCTGTAGCTTGGTGGGAAAATTAAAGTGGAGCTTCTTTACAGTGGAAATTTGCCTGAAAAGGCAGAGAAAGTCTTGCAGAGAAGGGAGAACATCTTCTCCTCTAAGCTATCAAATACACCCAAATTGCTGGAATGTGCTGGATGGGAACATTCCCGCCCTGCTGAAGGAACTGGGATTCCTGACTCACGTTCGGGGGGGCACAGGAATGGGTTGCTGGGTCTCTTTTGGCAGTGCTGTGCTTCCAGCCTGGCAGGGTCTCTCCTGGTGGAGGGATCTCTCCTAGGGGAAGGATCTCCCCTAGTGGAAGGATTTTTCCTAGAGGAAGGATCTTCCTTAGTGGAAGGATCTCTCCTAGTGGAAGGATCTCTCCTAGTGGAAGTATCTCTCCTAGTGGAAGGATCTCTTAGTGGAAGGATCTTCCCTAGTGGAAGGATCTCTCCTAGTGGAAGGATCTCTTAGTGGGAGGATCTTCCCTAGAGGAAGGATTGAAGATGGTGCTGGTGGGATTTCAGAAACACCAAGTGTGAAGATTTACAGAGGATGATTCTGGGGGGTGTTTTGGCTGCTGAATTCAGGTTGAGGAGCTGCCATGAAGCCCTTGGAGCAGAGCCACGTCCCCGGGCTGGTGCTGAGTGCCCTGTGTGTCCTGGCCGTGGTGTCCCCGGGCGAGGTGCCCGTCCCGAGCGAGGTGCCCATCTCGGAGGAGATCCTGGAGCAGCTCAGGGCGTCGGTGGCCAGGATCGCCGTGAACTCCACACCCTGCAGCGTCACCTGCGGGCCAGGCCTGAAGCTGGAGGAGCTGTGTGAGGTGACCCCGGCCGGGGAGAGGAGGAACTGCTCCCTGGTCAGCTCCTACTGCCTGGGCACCTTCCTGTGCGGGCTCCGGCACCTCACCGTGCCCACGGGGCAGCCCCTCCAGCTGCCCTGCCTGGCCCCCGACGCCCCCAGGCCGGGCAACCACGGCTACAGCTACACCTGGGAGCTGGCCCGGGGCCTCATCACCACCAACGACCTCCTGTTCGAGCCCCTGAGGAACTCCAGCCCCGCTTTGAGCTTCTCCCCCGCGCGGGAGGCGCACGCCGGGACCTACCGGTGCGATGTGCGGCTCCGGGGCACCTCCAAGCCCATCAAGAGGGTCTACTTTGGCCTCAGGGTCATCCCTGGAGACCTGGTGGGGCTCAGCTTCCAGCAGTCCCTGACCTGGGAGCAGAAGCTGGAGGGGAACCTGAAGGAGGGGAGCGCCGGGAACGGCAGCCGGGAAGGGCGGGAGCGCTTCTGGGAGCAGGAGGAGTTCTCTGAAGCTGTGCTGGGAATTGGGAGCGGAGTGCTGGGGGCCATCCTGCTCAGCCTCCTGCTCTGCTGCTGCCAGAGGCTTTGGAGAAGGAGAGGAGCAGAGAAATGAAGGGAGATTCCTGCAGTTGTTTGTATTTGTCTCTTTATTGGTGTTAAGGGGGAATTCGGGGTGTGGTTCTTGGGGTGGTCTGTGTAGGGCCACGGCTGGACTTTGGTGATCCTCGTGGGTCCCTTCTGACTCAGGAGATTCCAGTGATTCCATGAGTGTTTTATGTGATATTTGTGCTTTATTTTCCGGCTGACACAGATTTATTCAGGAATATTTCCTTGCCCTTTGGTGCTGAGTTAGTGCAGGGTTTTAGAGCAGAGCCTGAGTCTCACTGGAGCAGCGCAGACGGGTGGGACGAGGCACTTTGCCTCCAGTGGAGTTCTGGAATGATCCAGGCAGGATTTGGAGGACACTGAGCCACGGCAAACAGCTGCCAGCTCACAACTGTGCTCCTCTGATGGGTCTCTGTTTTACCTCGAGGTCTCTGGGGGTTTTATTTAACTTGCCACCCTTATTCCCCAAATTTCTCCTGCCTCGCTGAGAGCTCCGTGGGGCTGGAGCTGCCACAGCTCAGGGGTTGGTGGGGGATGTTCCTCCAGCAAGAGCAGATTTCCTGGCTGGCTGAGTCCTTTCCCCAGCTCCAAGGGTTTGGTCACAGTGGCTGTGGGGACGAGGGATGGAGCAGCACTGCCTCCTTCCCTGGGGACACATCTCCTCCCACTGGAGCCTGGAAAACTCCAGGTGTCCTCAGGGCTGGTTGGAGTGTGCCCTGTTCCCTCTGAGAGCTGAGCAGCAGAGCAGGAGCACAGACAGACCTTCAGCTTAGGAACAAGCAGACCTTGTTCTTAGTGTGTTTTTAGTCCTGACTCAGAGCTGAGCTCAGCCCTGAAACGCTCCAAGGGGGAGGAAGGGAAGAGTTCAGTGGGTCTGTGGGTCTTTCCTGGTGGTGAACAGCAGGAAGCAGCAGCTCTGCAGGGGTGTTGCTTCCCCCTTGGAAGCACAATCAGGGACCTACGAAGTTCCTCCCCTTTTTACTTTCTTATTTTCCAGCAAACAACTCTATTTATTCTCTGTTTCCTTTTTTCCCTGTGAATTACAGGAATGCAAAGCACACTCAATTCCAGGGAAAATAACCATACAGCCCTGATACTAAAGATGGAAACATTACAATTAGTTTTTCTTTTTAGCAGAATGACACAAAAATGCTTTAAATGGAGGGAAACACTTTTATTTGCCAGTGAAAACTGAAATAGGCACTTCCCACCCCTGCTTTCCAGAGCTCTTTTTGCCTTCTGAACACGAAGAAAATGGGCAAATTGGGAGTGACCCACCACGGGGGAGAGGGCTGGGAGCTGATGCTTAAAATCAACCAGGAGCTGCCCCATCTGGGGACCTTCTCTGCTCTTTGTGATGGAAATTGGGGACTCTGCATCCTGGGGGCAGCTGTGATTTTAAAAAACCTGGCCAGAACGACATGAAAGCTCCAGCAGAGCCCATTTCCCCCTGCTCAGCTGAGGAGGTCAGAGTGGGAGCCAAAAGGCTCCTTTTTCATCTTTTTATTATGTCTCTCTCTTTTTTTTTTTTTTTTTTCTTCCTGAGGGGACCCAGATGCCCCAGGCAGGGAAGATTAATATATATAATTTTAATGCTTAATTTGAGATGGAAGCCTGGGATGGACAGTGTGGCTCCAGCTGTCAGCAAGGAGGGGACTGGGCCTCTTAATGGCACTTTCCTGGGGTGCTTTTTGATTAAGTGTGTTGGGGGGTGTTTAACTAAACAGGTCTGTGGGGGCTGGAGGGGAGGGAGGGAAAAAGGGACCAGGAGAGGTTGGAGGTGCAGGAAGGTCAGTGCAAGCAGCTGAAGCAGGAACCTTTCCAACAGCATCTCCCCATCCCTGCTTCTCTTCCCAGCTCTTCCTGAGAGATGGGGGTTTCCTCGGGCACCACGAGAGGAAGAACAGCAAGAAAAAAAAAAAAAAAAAGGTGTCTCTTCGTGCCGTGAGTTGGGAACTGAGCTCTTCACCCTCCCCTGGAGGAGGGGGCTCCGTGCAGACCTTTGGTGCTGCCGGTTCCCAGCTGGAGGAGTTTGTGTGGAACAGACTCCTCGGGAAGCAATTAGTGCTGAGCTGCTCCAGCCAGACTGGGAGAGGGAGGGAGCGGAGCCGCTGACGGCTTTGGCACCTGGGGAGGGGGAACTGATAACAGGAGGGGGAGCTGATAACAGGAGGCCTTGGCAGCGCCGGGAATCGCTGGGAGCTCCTGGAATAGCTGAGTGACTGCCTTGGTGTAACTCTGCAGCAAAGGAAACAACCCCCCCGAGCTGCTTTTGGGCCAGCCTGGGGGACTCCTCCATTAATTAATGGGACTCCTCCATTGATTGATGGGACTCCTCCATTAATTGTGGCCCCTGTTCCTGCAGCAGCTCCACGATCTGCTGGGATAAAGCTCTGGGATAAGTATTCTTGTCCCCCCTTTCCCCTCCTTTCTGCTCCTCCTCTCCAGGTTCTCTCCACCCCCCAGCCCAAGCCAGCGGGCTGGGAAGCTTCCCCTGCCGGGCAGGACGTGCTGTGTTCTCTCCCCGGGGTGTTCCCAGCAGCTCCCGCCTGTTTGTCAGCCCGGATCCATTTGTCTCCCTGATTTCTGCCCAGTGCAGCCCGTTTAATGAGGGTCCTTGGGCAGGGATTCATCCCAATCCTGGCTGCTCCCTGCTGGGATCTCTAATGATGCTGCCCCTGCCCTGGCAGAGCCCTGGGCAGCAGAAATCCCTGAGCTCATAACACCAGTGAGGAGGGGAGTCTCTGCAGCTCCTTTTCCCTTTTTCCTTTCCCTTTTTCCCTTTTTTCTTTTCCCTTTTTCTTTCTCCTTTTCCTTTTTCCTCTCCCTTTCTCTCTTTTTTCTTTTCCCTTTTTCTTTTTTCTTTTTCCTTTTCCTTGTCCCCTTTCCTTTTTCCTTTCCCTTTCCCTTTTTTCCCTTTCCCCTTTTCCCTTTTTCTTTTTCCTTCTCCTTTTTCCTTTTCCCTTTTTCTCTTTTTCCTTTCTCTTTTTCTCTTTTTCCCTTTTTTCCTTTTCCCTTTTCCCCTTTCCTTCTTCCCTCCTTTTCTGTGCCTCACTTACCCCCTCTGATAAATCACCAGCACCAGAACTGCCCCAAACAAGCCGCTCTTGGTCTTAATTTGACTTGCACCTGCACAAACCCCGAGCTGTGGGGTCTGCAGAGGGATTTTCCTGCCACCACCCGGCCCTGAACTTGGCCTTTCTCATCCTCCAGTGGGAACCCTTTGCTCTCCCTCCCTCCTGTCCTTCCCTCGGGGGTTTCCCGGGGTTTTCCCTGCAGTTCCATAACCTGCCACTGCCTTTTCTGGCTCCACAGCTTTGGAGGATCAGCGAATTCCCCCAGACTGGAGGTGGGTAATTCCTGGAGAGCTGCAGAGGGGCCTGGGAATGACAGTTCCTCCCTCATCCTGCCCTGTGCCAGCAGGAGCCTTTGGCTGCTGTTCCCACTTTATCCTGGGTATTATTTGTCATGGGAACAGGGAGGTTTCCTTCCTTCGTGCAGGTGGGCTCGAGGTGTTACCACGTTTCCATTACGTTTATTTTTCTTTGCCTGGGTTAAAACATTCCTGTTGTTTGCTAAACACAGGGAGCCTCCTCCCCTCATCCCAGAGCTGCTCCTCCCACCCTGGGAACCCACCTGGGCTTTTCCCTCTTTGCTTCCAGGGCTAGGGATTAATTGTGATGGGTTACTCTGGATATACACAACAGGGAGACCAGGGGGGTTATGGAATCATGGAATCATTAAGGTTGGAAAAGACCTTTTAAGATCCTCAAGTCCAGCGATCAGCACTAAACTACATTCCCGAGTGCCACATCCACGTGTTTTTTGGACATTTCCAGGGATTCTGACTCCAGGGCAGTCCCTGGGCAGCCTGTGATCTCTCAAATGCTCCCCAAGACTTAGGACACAGCAGTTTAAAATGGTTAAAAAGGGCAAGGAATTGGCATTTAACGTGGAAACTGTGCCAGGGCCTTGGCAGGGCTTAGTCCTGCAGCTGCAGCCCTTTGCCAGGTAATTCTGGGGGCTGGGAGTGTTGTCCTTTGGGAAGGAGGGAGGGAAAGGCCCCTAAAAGCACCCTTGGGATCAACCCAGCAGCAACAGGAATCAACCCTCATTAACTTTGGTCGACTGCTTTACTGGGAGGCAGAGATTTCAACAGGAGCATTATTCCCAGCCAGTTCAGGGAGTGGTGCATCCCATCTTTTCCCAGCTAAAGGTGCCCCTCAGCATCCCTGTGCTTTGGGCTGTTGAGCCTGAAAGCCAGACCAACCTCTGGGCTGGATCTCAGTCCTGCAGCCCCAGGCTGAGCCTGACATTTGGGCTGTTTGAACTCTGTGTGCAGGGAGAGGAATCTGAGCCCAGATCCTCCTCATTGTCCCAGTGGTGGCTTCCTCAAGTCTCCAGTTCTTGTTTCAATCATGGAATATACTTTTCCCTCCTCCTTTAAGCCCCTCTATTGAACTGGGATTTACTGACACCTCCATTTTTAGGCAGAGCTACTTTTTTTTTTCTTTTTTCCCTAGAAAACTATCTCCTTTTCCCTTTTTCCCCCAGACAGGAAGGAAAGAAGCAAACAGGGTCACGACACCACCCCAAAAGCACGTGGGACATGGGGAACACTGAAGTTGCACCTCAGAGCAGCTGAGACAAACCCCAGGCTGGGGCAGAGATCAATCCTCCCCTGGCTTTAGCTCCTTGGGCTGGTTGCTGCAGAATTTGGCTCATGTTATGGGGAAGAAAGAGTAAATCCTGTCCCATAGCTCCTCAGAGATGGTGTGGAACGTGCTGCTCACTGAACTCTCAGTCCCCGTCCATCCTCTCTGTCCCCCCCAAAAAACAATTCACTGTACAGAGTTAAAAAAAAAAAAAAAAGTCCAATTTAGCAGTCTGGTTATCTCATACATGGCTTCATAAGGCAGAAAACCTACTGGGTGCCGTGTGGGGAGGGGGAAGCTGGCTGCAGAATTCCCAGGGAATTCTTCCTTTCCTCGTCCCTTTAAAAAAGTTTCATCGGTCAAAGAGCCACATCTCTCGTAGGAAACCTCACGTTCCTCCAAACCAAAAAAAAAAAGCTGTTTTCTTTCCTCCTCCTTCTCCTCCTCTGTCAAATCCTCTCCCCGTGGTGCTGCTCTGGTACAAAGTGGGAGTTGCAGCAGCCGAGGGTTGTGGTTTTCCCGCCTGGATCGGGGGGAATCACGTCCCGAGTCCCGCGTCCGGCCTCGGTCAGAGCTCCAGGGAGCTGATCAGGGCCACCATGAGCAGGGAGTTGGTGGTGATCACCACAGCCTGGGGCCTCGTCCCCGAGTCTTCCACCATCATACTGGTCCCTGGAAAAGAGAGGGACAGGGAAGGAGCGGCTGCCTGGTGGCACCGACAGCGGGGGACTCGAGGTGTTGGTTGTGGGGCTCTGTGTGCTCCTGTTTGTCACCGAGGAACCTCCCAGGAATGCTGGTGTTGGAAGAACAATCTGGAGATGGGGTCTGAGTGTTCACCCCCGGATCAAGGGAACCTGCTGGGGGGGCCCAGAGTCAGGGTGGGTCACAAACAGTCAGGATTTCACTCTTAGCAAAGAACTTACTTCTTAGTTTTGAACTCTGGGTGAGTTGGGGGACTGGGGGGTCTCGAGGGCTTTAGCTGCAAATATATAAGGTGGGTCCAGGCTGGAGTGAAAGGTCGTCAGAGCTGGGGGAGAGGTTTGGGGGGAGGATGGAGAGCGATGTGTCAGGAGTTCTTCTGAGTGAACAGCACAAGGGAACCAAAGGCCATTTCCAGAAAAGCCCAATTCCAGAAAAGCCCAATTCCAGAATCTCAACCTAAAATCCTGGGGTAGGGTGTTCTCCCGTGTCCCTGGAAGGGGGAGTGGGATTTAAAAACACCCTGGCATTGGTGGTTACACCCTGGCATTGATGGTTACACCCTGGCATTGGTGGTTACACCCTGGCATTGGTGGTTACACCGTGCTGTGGGGTCAGGTGGGGGAGGAGGTGGGACTGGGTCACCCTTTGTCCCGGCACAGCGGTGGGAAGGACGGGCAGGGGAGCTGCAGGTGACTCCTCTCTCTGAGCTCCTGGGAAGCACCTTGTGAAGGGCAGAGGAACAAACCTACCACTGTTCCGGAGGATGTGAACTTCTGCAGGGGTGCCGTCCCCCCCCGGCCCCGTGACCCGGATCTGCACGAAGGCGTGGGTGAAATCCTCGGGGATGGGGATGTCGATCCGGCTCTTGCTGGCCAGGTACAGGGTGGGGGCAGAGTGGGAATCCTGCCTGTAGAGCATCTGTTGGGAGAGGGAACTGTGAGTTTTGTGTTTTCCTGGGGGTCACTCCCCCCTGAGGGCGGCCCAGCCCCGTCCTGCCCGTACCTTGTACCCCGTCACCGCCGACTCGTCCGCCCTCGCCACCACCGGGTCCCACTTGATGGTGACTGTGGAGCCAGAGAAAGTCCAGGAGATGTTGCCAGGTGGCCTTTTCGGTGCTGAGGGATGCAAAGCAAGACAGGGGTTCAGTGATCTGGGTTGTGCTGGTTACAGCCACCTCCTGAGGCTCCGTGAGCAGGGCTGATGTCACCCCCGGGGAGGGTTTAAAGGCCACCAAAGGTGAGCCTGAGCACAGAGCTCAGGTGAGGGATACACAGAGCTCAGGTGAGGGATACAGAGATCCCAAGGTGAGGGATACACAGATCTCAGGTGAGGGATACACAGCTTTAGGGTGAGGGATACACAGAGATCAGGTGAGGGATACACAGCTCCAGGATGAAGGATGCACAGCTCTCAGGTGAGGGATACACAGATCCCAAGGTGAGGGATACACAGCTCCAGGGTGAGGGATACAAAGAGCTCAGGTGAGGGAAAAACAGCTCCAGGGTGAGGGATACACAGCTCTCAGGTGAGGGATACACACAGTTCAGGCAAGGGATACACAGATCTCAGGTGAGGGATATGCAGCTCTAGGGTGAGGGATACACAGATCCCAAGGTGAGGGATACACAGATCCCAAGGTGAGGGATACACACAGCTCAGGTAAGGGATAGACAGAGCTCAGGTGAGGGATACACAGACCACAATTCTGATCTCGGAAAATTCAGGGAAACCGTTCCGTGGATGACAAAAAACAGCCTCAGAGCAGCAGGATAAAGAGTGACTCAGGTTTTTGGGGGTCCCGTGGAGGAAGCAGCGGCCCAGGGGAGGGGGATGTGCAGCCTGGGGGGGTCACTCACGTGGCCTGGTGGTGGTGACGTTGGTGGAGGCGCTGGGGGGGCCGGTCCCAGCCCGGTTGTAGGCTCGGACTGACACGTGGTAGTTGGTGTTGGGGTTCAGCCCTGTCACGTGGGCAGATGTGACCAGCCCTGCTGTCCTCACCCTGTCAGCTGCCTCCTCCTTGTCCCCGTCCTTCCAGTACCGGATCTGGGCAGAGAAGGACCCAGGGGGTTTTAGTAAGGACAGAGGCATCTGCAAATCCACAGCCAGGGCTGGAGACCCCTGGCTGTTATTTATTAGTTTGCTCAGTGTGTGCCTGGGACTGAGGTGGAAAGGCAACCAGGACAAAGGGGATGTTTCTCTCTCAGTCTCTCCTGTGAGCAGCAGTCCCACCCCCATCAGAGCCACTTGGCTCTTCATTATCCTCCCCCTTTGGCAACAAAATGCTGTTTCCTTCCAGCTCACTTGACCTGGGGGAGTTTTCTTTGCTGGCCTCTCCCACCTCAGCCTCAGTGTCTCCCATCCCAGGCCTGTACCTCGTAGCCCAAGAGCACTCCCGTGACATCCCCCTGCTCCACGGGCTCCCAGGACACATCCATCTCCGAGGACAGAACAGACTTGGCCACAACTCTGTAAGGAGCCACTTTGGGTTCTGAAAAAGACAAGGAAAGGGAATAAACTCCTTTTTCCTGGCTCTGGGCAGCAGCACTTGGGCACCAGACAAAGGGCTGTCCTGCAGCCCCATCCCCCTGCGGGCAGACAGCTGGTGCTGTGGGACAGAGCAGAGCCAGGGGAAGGGATTTAGGGACTTAGGAGGACAAGCAGGGCCACAGCTGGGTGTCCTGGGGGTCTGTGTCTGCTCTCAGGCTCTGGGGCAGTCGTGGCTGGGCTGGGGGAACATCTCTGGGTGTTTGAAGGAGCAGATGAACGTTCCAGTGTTCTGGGAGCCAAAGGAACCTCTCCTGTCGCTGAGCTCCCAGACAGACCCAGCAGGGACCTGGCTGAGGGCAGAATAGGGTGGATTCTGAGTCCCTGCAGGCAGAGAATGGTTTGGGTTGGAAGGGACATTGAGGTCCATCCCGTTCCACCTTCCACTAGCCCAGGTTGCTCTGGACACTTGGACACTTCCAGGGATGGGGCAGCCACAGCTTCTCTGGGCAACCCGTGCCAGGGCCTCACCACCCTTATAGTAAACAATTTCTCCTTAAAATATCTAATCTAAGCCTGCCCTCCTTCATCCTAAAGCTATTCCCCCATCCTGTCCCTCCATCCCTTGTCCCCAGTCCCCCTCCAGCTCTCCCAGAGCCCCTTTAACCACTGGGAGGGGCTCTCAAGTCCTCCAGGCTGACCCCCCCCCGGCAATCCCACCCTGGTGCAGCCCCTGTACCTTCCTCAGCCGAGTACACGATGGCAGTGAGGCTCTCGGGCCCCTCTCCCTTCCTGTTGTAGGCCTTGATCTTCACCTCGAAGGGGGTGTAGGGCGCGATGCTCTCGTTGCGATACACGTAGTGCAGGGACTCGGCGTGAGGCACCCGCGCCGTCAGCCAGCCCTGGGAGCCCTTCCTCCGGAAGGACACGAGGTACCCAAACCCATCCCCGTTCTGGTAGTCCCTCAGAGTCGGCTGTGAGGGGAGAGAGTGCCTTCAAACTCGCTAAAAAGTCATCAGCAATGAACTGAACCCCCCGAGCCCACCTTTGAAGGGTTGGGGGGACAGGCACTGCTTCGTCCTGGCCAGAGACAGGCAGTGAATCATTCCAGCTGCCTGTGCCCCTTCCAAGGATTTTCACATATTTCTATTCTATTCCTAGTTTACTTCTATTCTATTCTATTCTATTCCTAGTTTAGTTCTATCCTATTCTATTCTAGTCTTATTCAATTCTATTCCTAGTTTAGTTCTATTCTCTTCTATGCTATTCCTATTCTATTCTATTCTATTCCTATTCTATTCTATTCTATTCTATTCTATTCTATTCTATTCTATTCTATTCTATTCTATTCCTATTCTATTTCATTCCATTCCATTCCATTCCATTCCAAATTTACTTCTATTCTATTCTACTCTATTCCTAGTTTACTTCTATTCTATTCTATTCTGTTCTATTCTATTCTCTTCTGTTCTATTCTATTCCATTCCACTCCACTCCACTCCATTCCATTCTATTCTATCCTATTCTGTTCCATTCTGTTCTGCCAAACAAAGAAATCAACGTTCATTTGTTCTGAGTTACACAATTCCCCTCATTAATTAGTGCTCTGTCCCTCACTGGCTAATTTGCTCCGTATTCTTTGCTCCCCTTCTCCTCAGACAGCGAGTCTCCGACTCTCAGGCTCTGATATCTCTGCTAATCCCCTCTGTATCTCCTGATTACTCCACCGTGTCTCTGAATGGCCACGAATTTAAGATCCCAGATGTCCAATCTTCAGCTGCCTCGAGCCTTGTCTACTGAAGCCCATCAGAGCCACTCCAGAGAGACTCAAAGGTTCAGTGGTTTAAAGATCAAACCGGCAGGAGGCTGCAGAACCAAACCCAGGCACTTGCTGCCATCGATTAAAATGTAGGGAAGTTCTATCATTTCCAACAAAGCCAGTGAGATTTTTTTGACCAAGTTTGGCTCAACAGAATCGTAACTGGAGCAGTGATTTCCCAAAGGGAATGGCCCGGGCTCCTCCCCTTGGCCCCCAGCCAGCACTCACCGTCCAGTTGATGATGAGCTCGTTGGGAGCCCCTCCACCGCCGCCGAGCCCAGATGGTGCCACAGTGGGCGCTGTCAGGTCCCCAAACAAAAGCAGACAGCACAGGTTGGGTTAAGGGGGTGGCAGTGATGGAGACGGGCACAGACACGGCGCGTCACGGGCGGTGACAGCTCCTGTGGAGGGGCTGCTCTCTTTTTTTTTTACCCGTGGAAATCAGGTCTGGAACACCGGCTTGTGCCTGCCCAGCTCAGCTCTGAGGGGACAGGGATGAAGCTCAAAGGCAGGGATGTGGAGGGGAGTTTTTATTGGAAAGGAGTTACTTTGCCTTTGGCACACTGAGAGCAGTTCTGCTGCTCTTCCAGCCCTCATGACAGCACCTTCAGGCAGCCAGGGATGGGATGAACATTCCCAGCTCTTTGCTGGGAAATCTACCTTGTTCTTGCAGAACTGTGCTCTGTGATACAACAGCTCTTTCCCCTTCCTTGCCTTGCTGCCCAGAAGGTTTGAAGGCAGGGTTTATAATGCCAGGGTTTATAATGTTCATATGCTGCCTCTAACGCCGGGGAAGTCACTGCCAGCTCTGCCACTGCTTCGTGTTTGCCATGGAAATGGGCAGAGAGGCAGAAAATCCTGTGATGGCCTCACCTCCAGGAGCACTCGAGGGGATGATTAATCCTTTGGGACCAAGCCAGCCTTCCCCCTCCAGCAGGCAGGGACAGATCCCTCGGGTCCCCACACCTACCTGCTTCCTTGGTGCGGATTTTGCTGGAGGGTAAACTCGGCTCCCCCACTCCCAGGATGTTACTGGCCAAGACCCGGAACTCGTAATCCATCCAAGGGATGAGGTTCACCACCTGGGCTGTCTCTGCATTGCCTTCAATGTTTACAGGATCTATATAATCCAATAACACCAGAGGAGGGCGAATAGAGCGAGTGGCAGCACAGAGCAGGGGCTCACCAGTGCCTGGTGGCCCTCGAGGGCTGTGTCCCCAGTGCTGCCATCGAGACACTTACTGGTCCTCATCTGCTTCCACTTGCTGGAGAGGAGGGTCCTGGCCTCGATGAGGTACCTGGCGATGGGGCTGTGGTTGTCAAAGCCACGGCTCCAGCTCAGCTGGACGCTGGTGTCACTGATGTCTCTCACCACCACACCCCCGGGGGGGCCGGGAGGCCCTGGGAGACAAAGGGACGTGTTACTCAGGTCAAAGATTTGGAGCTTCATCGCTCTTTGCATTGTGCAGGTTGTAAATTGACATCAGGCCTTTCTTTTCTGGGGGCTGGGAGGCCTCACCTCCAGTTTTTACCCTCCAGAAAAAGCTCCTTTCAAATCTCACAGAATCACTAAGGTTGGGAAAAGACCTCCAAGGTCACCAAGCCCAACCTTTGACCGAAAACCACCACCACGCCCATTAAGCTGCGTCACGAAGTTCAGATATCAGACCGTGGGGTGGCCGCAAGGGGAGGGCAAACTGATCCCTTGCAAGGGCCATGCCACGACTTAGGGGCCTGTGAGGGGCAGGGAGGCTCCTGGCAGAGCAGTTACCCCGGACGGTGAGCGTGGCTGACTCCGAGGCGCTGTCCACCACGGTCTGGGCCGTGCACGTGTAACGCCCCGAGTGCCTCAGCTGCGCGTTGGAGATGCTCAGGTCCCCGATGGCTTCCTTCTGCAGGGGAGAGAGAACAGGCAGTGGGGAGGGTGTTTGAACCCGATCACGGGTCAGAGTTCGTGGTTTGGGTTTGCAAAGCTGGGTTTTGGTAGCGAGGGGGGTGTGGAAGTGGGATCTGTGAGGAGCTGCTGGACGATTCCCCCGTGTGTGATGGGGCCCCAGGGCCAGCTGGCCCCGAGAGGGACCCACTGCTGGCCAAGGCTGAGCCCATCAGGTGGCCTGTGCTGAGTCTGTTTTGCTCATGGTGGTGATCACTGAGTGACCTGAGTGATCTGAGTGATCCCTGAGTGACCTCTGAGTGATCTGAGTGACCTCTGAGTGATCTCTGAGTGACCTCTGAGTGATCTGAGTGACCTCTGAGTGACCTGAGTGATCCATGAGTGACCTCTGAGTGATCCCTGAGTGACCTCTGAGTGACCTGAATGACCTCTGAGTGATCTGAGTGATCCCTGAGTGACCTCTGAGTGATCCCTGAGTGAGCTCTGAGTGATCTGAGTGATCTCTGAGTGATCTCTGAGTGATCCCTGAGTGACCTCTGAGTGATCTGAGTGACCTCTGAGTGATCCCTGAGTGACCTCTGAGTGATCTGAGTGACCTCTGAGTGATCCCTGAGTGACCTGAGTGATCCCTGAGTGACCTCTGAGTGATCCCTGAGTGATCCCTGCCTGCCCTTATCTCGACCCACGAGCCTTCCCCTCTCCCTCGTCCAGCTGAGGAGGGGAGTGATCACAGAATCACAGAATGGTTTGGGTTGGAAGGGACCTTAAAGATCATCTCATCCCACCCCCTGCCACAGGCAGGGACACATTTCACTGTCCCAGGTCGCTCCATCCAACCTGGCCTTGGACACTCGCAGAGATTTGGAGTTCACAACACCTCTTTGGTGGGTGCTGGTGCCCAGCCAGGCTCAGCCCCCCCCAGACACACAAACAACGAGGCTGGCACTAATTCCCTGTCCCTTTTGGTGGCACAGGAGTGCCCCGTGCCCTCACCACGCTGGCTCGCCGGTAGTGCCCCTCAGACTTGTCGAAGTCGATGGGGAAATCGTCCAGGGCCCAGGTGAAGGTGAGGTCCATGGTGGGGTCGTGGGACGCGTGGCACTGCAGGGTGAGGTTCTCACCCACGTTGATGTCAGCGCTGGATGGTGCCAGGGTGATCTTGGTGGCATCTGCAGAGAAAGAGCGGGGAGGGGCTGTCAGCTGAGAACGTCCACGTGCCAGTATCCCAACCAACCAACACCTTTCCAGCTCGTCCTCCCTCTGGGCTTTGACAGGAGGAAGGGGAGGGATTGCGGTCCTTAGAGAAGGGAAGTGCTTTTCTCCAGGTTGGTGGGGGATGTGGTGGGTCAGCACAAGGTTTTGCTGCTCCACAGGCTGAGATTACTTTGATTCCCCGAGTACTGCATTGGTTTGGGGGGTATAAGGAGAGGAGAAATATCCCATCAGTCATTCTTAGACGTTTCTTGCTCGACTGACCCCAAATCAAGGCAAACAGCTCTACCTCGAACAGAGAGGATCCCAGTGCTGTTGGCTTTGCCCATGAAATTCTCAGCAAAGCAGGTGTATTTTCCCTCATCAGATTTGCTGATGTTCTGGAGGATCAAGGTGCCATCTGCAGTAATAGTCACCCTGGAGAGGGAGAGGAACCACACAAGAGGAAGGTTAACAATGGCTGTTCACTCTCTACCCCTGGTAATTTCCAGCACTTGCTGCTTTTAGAGAAATCAGAGATTAAAAAGACAGACAGAAAAATATCATGTTTTCTAAAGGAGAAATTAGAGGAACAACAAAGCTCAGGGACGGAGCAGCACATTTGGGTCATCAAGTCCAGTCTTCTGGCAAGAAAAAAAAAAAAGTGATTTTAGCTACAGTTTCTAGGCAGAAGCTGAGTCTGTGCTGCTACCTGCTGCTGTTGACCAGAAGCTCAGTCCCCTTGGTCCAGAGCACAGTGGCTTTGGGTGCTGCTCGTGGCTGGCAGGGGATGATGACCTTCCCACTCCGGGCTGCCGGGATCAGCCGCTTCACTGGGCTGAGTCTAAAATCTGGTGCTAAGGCTACAGGGGGGAAAAAACAGGATTAAGGAATGGTCAGAACCCCCTGCTCTGGGGGCGTTTGAAGTGCCAAGTGACTGGGTATTGATCTGTTGTTGGATGGCTTGGTAAGAGAAGCGAGGCAGTATCTGGAGAGCGGGATGAAAGGAGTGGTTCCTCTGCTGCTGGGTGGGTTCTAACACCTGCCAGGGCAGGTGTTGGGTGACACACCTGAGGCAGGTGTCGTGT